CCGTAGTGATACTGCCTCGGAAACCCAAGGAGGGGTCGCTATGAGTCGGGGCCGACTCGACGGCACATAACAACAACAACAACAAATCTCTACAGAAGCAGACTGGCACATCTTTGTCCCATGGAGCAGCTAATGGGTTCAAACCACCGACCTTTTGATTAATAGCTGGGTGCTTAACCACTGTACCACCAGCACTCTTTATAGGAAGACTAGATTATGTGTGTAAGGAGAGATTGGGAGACATTAGCCCTAAGACCAGAGGGCAGTAGCAGAGGGAGAGAATTGGACGGATTTGATAGTTAGGAGGCTGGTTCATGAGACTAGCTCCCGATTTTAATGGTTTTCCCTTTGGTGATAAAACCAATAATTGAATTTAATGGCTTCTGACATTTTACTTTGTTCTGATACCATGAAAAGAAAGTCCTCTCAATTCCTCTGCTTCCCAGACCCACCTTCTCAGCCCTGTGCCCAGTGCCATTTCTTCCTTAGGTGGCTTCTCTGATTCAGGCCGTAGCCTCAGTTTCAGATTTTATCACAGGACTCCTGCACCCGAAACACTCCCGGTGGACTCCCCTGGGCCCTGATGATAAAATACCCGCCCCTCACCCGCTTTATCAGAAGCCTCTCCTGGCCCTGGCTGCCTGCTTCTCGTTTTGTGTCTCGCCATGTCATTTTCTCCACCTGCCCCCCCCCATATCCTGTTCCCTGTGTTTTATCTCCTAATGTGTGTACTTGAACGTTTCCAGAACATGCCCCATACTGTTGGGCTCCCTGCCTCCTCACCTCTGCGCATGCTCTTCCCACTGCCTGGGCTTGTTCCCGCATTTCCTCACCTGGTTAACTCTTCCTTGCCCTAAATCTGAGCCCAGCCCACAGTTCATCAGGAAGCATTTTGAGTTAGCCCTCTGCCCTCCCCCAGATTGTCATTAGTTCTTGTTTTGTTTTTCTCCCAAATTAGACTGGGGAGGGCTCCTTTAGGGCAGGAACTTTGCTCTCCTCTCTCACCCCCACAAATGGATGTAGCCCTGGAAGAAAGTAGATGAACAGATCCTGGCTGACTGACTGAACATGGGTGAACGATGGGTGGGGGTCAGTGGGAGAAGTGAACAAATAAATGAGGAGCAAGCATGTTCTGAGTTCCAAGTTAATTTCTAAATAACTTTGTCTGTAACATTGTAACCTATTTCTGCTTCTCTTTTAATTCCTAGCACAGCTGAAGGCTTAACAAGAAAAAATATGTCAGATGTCAGTGGGTGGCAGACGTTTTTACAAGCCCTTGGCTATTTCCTCAAAATGTTCTTTGGCTCAGCAGCTCTCGGCACTCTCACTGGCTTAATTTCCGCATTAATATCCTTTTAATGGGACACACGCATGAACACATGCATGGCAAAGAGTATTCTCCGTCCATCTCTAAATCGTTTTCTCCTGTTCCTTCAGGGGCCTAATTTAGTCTAAGGTTTTGTTTCAAGGAGCATTTTCATGCTTGCTTTTGGTTTGGGGTCTACTTGAATTCAAACTCAAAAGATTTTTTTTTTTTTTTTAATTTAACTCATGAAGTTTCAGATACCACTTTCCCAAACCTAAGAAGCATGTACATTGTTGGGTACCAGGTATGACTTTGGGGGCGTCTCAGTCCCCAGGCCTGGTAACCACACTGATGATTGCCGTTACCTGCCATCTCTTCCCATTCAAAATCGGAAGCGAAGTTTCCTTGGAAGTGTCATATTGAGAACATCCTTAGCCCCCTGAATGCGTGGGTCTGGCAGCCTGGAGCAGGGACTGCTCAGCGGTGAGCTCCGTCTGCCTTCCGAGACCAGCATCATTGCTTCCCAGCCAGGGAGGGAAAGAGGCTTGTTAAGGCCAGCAGCACCTTGTGGCTGCGGAAAACTCGTGTTTAAAATAGGAACAGGCCCCAGCCTGTGTCGGTGCACGGCTCAGCCCGGCTCAGGGCGGGGGTCACCTGGGCCTCCTGAGCGGCGGGTTGTGCCTGCGGCCGGCAGAGGCCCTCTGCCCGTTACAGGTGCGCTTGTCTACCATCCCATTCACTGTTCCCATCAGCTCCTTTGTCCGGAAGCCTGAAGGGCTGTGGGCTGGCTGACAGCTTCTCTTCTTGTACCAGGAAACAGAATGGAAAAGAAAACTTTTCCAGTTCACTATTTTCTTCCATATTTACCTCTTTCAGAAGGGGATTTAAAAAAAAAAAAACAACAGATCATTTGTTGTAAAGAAGCACTTCAGTGGGCTGTGAGCGGCATTTGACTGTATAGAAGATGCTCTCCTCTCACAGGGGTGTGAGTTAGTGATGTCCAGGAACGGAAAAGACGGTCCTGCACTGGAGCATTGATCCCCAGAGTTCTGGAGACATGAGTACCCCTTTAGGACCTGAGGTCCTCAGAGGAAATGAAAAAGTGCCACAGCCTTCAAGGGCCCTGGCAGCGGGGGCTGGCCACAGCCTCCAAGTCAGCATTTTTAATTCTTCCCTCTCTCAGGAGTTTACATTTCTCAGTGTGTGGCAGAATCCCTTTCTTACATCAGTCTCCCTACAAAGAAAAAGTTCTGTGATGATGGATTTTCAGCTATAACCTTGGGATTCTAAACCTCTGTACCCACTGTTTGCTTTATAGAACCAAGGGCAACAGTTTTGTGCCTTCCTTAAATCTCCCGTCAATTGTCCCTAGACTCTTTCCTTGACAGCTGTCATTTACGTGTTAAAGCACATTGACTTGAGGAAAACGCCTTCCTTGGAGTTCGGCATGATGATCATTTTTGCGTACCTTCCTTATGGGCTTGCAGAAGGAATCTCCCTCTCGGGTAAGTGACAGCATTGACCTGCTGTGGCAGTGGCGTGTTGTGCTGCCTGGTGAAAAAGGTTGTATCCATCAGGCCACTTTCGATCTCAGGAGACAGAGACACAGGTTGAAGAGCTGAAGCAGTAAGACGGCTTCATTGGCCCTAAACAAACATCTGGATTTGGGCCTGGCTGGATCCAGGCACTCAAACCCACATTCTCTCGTTTTCCCCCATCAGTCATATGAGGGAGGTACTGTGTACTCCTTATTTTACTAGTGAGGAGACTGAGGTTCAGAGAGGTTAAATAAATCATCCGTGGTTGCAGCTGGGAGTGATGGAACCGGAATTCAAACCCGTTCTCTTTGACTCCAGAATGGCTGCATCTCCACCCCTTCCTCTAATACTACCTCCCTCCGTAACAGATAAGCAGAAAACCAGACTGGGTGCCACTCAGAGGACAAGCAAAGCATGGCTTTGTGTCATGATGTGATAATAACTGAGTTATGGCTCTCACCACCCCCATGGGGTGGGTACAAAGAAACTAAGTCGTTAGCCCAGGCTTGCCTTAGGGGCCCAGGAGAGCAGTGGTCACTCACACCATCATGGTTCTTGGATCCCCTCCTCCCCTCTAATCGAATCGACAGCCCTTGTTTGCAAGGCTTGGCTTGTTGGTCTGCCTGCCCACAGTTGACAGGCTCCAAGGTTCGTGTAATTATTGGTCCATTGGCCTGGAAATAGAGGGTGTCTATGTGTGTGCCCTTTCATCTGTGAAGGAGGGGAAGCTGAGCAGGGAGCCGGCCTTCCCATATCTGATCCCCTCCGGAGTGAGGCCCTGCCGAGGCCTGTTCTGCACAAGGGACACTGTCGGAAGTGATACTTTGATCTCTGCTGCAGGTTCTTTGGGATTAACTTCGTCGAGGTATAATTTACCTACAATAAGGGCACTCATTCTGAGAGTACAGGTCCGTGAGTTTTGACATATGCACACAGTCATGTGACTGCCCCATAGTCAAGATTTAACATTGCCACCCCCACGTAGTTCCTTGTGCTCTCTGCAGTCAGCCCCCTCTGCCGTCTCCGGGCCCTGACCCCCGATGATCTGTGTTCAGTCACTGTATTTCACATTTTCCAGGGCACTGTAGCCTTTGTGTCTCGTTTCTTTCACCTGCCACAATGCTTTGGAGCCTTTTCGATGTTGTTTGCATGTATCAGTACTTTGGACATTCTTATTGCACCACAATACTTCATCCATCCGCCAGAAGGGCATGTGGGTTATTTCCAGATTTCAGCTGTGACCATCTGTGCATAGTTTTCAGTTACTTGGGTAAAATACCTGGGAGTGAGAGGCTGCTGTCCTGTGGAAAGGAGAAATGGCCAACTGTTCTCCAGCATGACTGCTGTTTTGCATTCCCACCAGAATGTGTGAGAGAGGCCTGGTTGTTTTACATCCCCACCAACGCTTCCTTTAATGTTCTGAGAGTTCAGCTGCCTTGACGGGTGGACAGCGATTTGATGACGCTGTGCTTTGGTGTGGTTCTCTTTAAATTCTGTTTGTGGCTTGTTGAGCTTCTTGGGTTGATAGTTTATGTGGGCTGACAGCTTTCATCGAATTTGGGGAATTTTATCCATGTCTTTATAAACTCTTGGTTGTTGCTCCCTCTTCTTTTCTGTTGGGACTCCATTTACCCCACTTTTAATAGACAGCATGCTGTTGTCCCCCAACAGACTGCTCTTGTTTCCAGTCTCTGTCGCCCTGTGCTTGCTTGGTTCATTTCTATTCTTCAGGTCCACTCGTGCCCAATCTCCTGTTAATCCCACCCAGAGTATGTTTCATTTTAGATGTTGTATTTTTCACCTGGAGGCATTTCCTTTGGGTCATTTTTGTATCTTCCATTTCTCTTTTATGTTTATATTTTTTGTACATTCTTAAGTGTAAAAAGAACCCACTGCCATCAAGTCGATTCCAGCTCATAGCAACCCTGTAGGACAGAGTAGAACTGCCTCATAGGGTTTCCAAGGCTGTAAGTCTTTACAGAAGAAGCCCGCCTCATCTTTCTCCCATAGAACAGCTGGTGGGTTTGAACTGTTGACTTTTTGCTTAGCAGCTGAATGCCTTAACCACTGTGCCACCTGAAGTCCTTCATTCGTGAGTGTAGATGCGTGCTTACAACAGCTGTTTTAGTGCCTTCATTCATTCCATCAGAAGTCCTTCATTCTCGAGTGTAGATGCGTGCTTACAACAGCTGTTTTAGTGCCTTCATTCATTCCATCAGGTCTGTCAGTTCTGGATCCATTTCTCTTGATTAATTTTTTTTAGTTTATAGATCATATTTTCCTGCTTTTTTGCTTGCCATTTTTAAATTTTTATTCGAGATAAAACATAAGTAACGTAAAATTTGCCATTTTAACTATTTTTAAGTGTATGATTTCATGGCACTAATTACATTCACAATGTTTTGCAGCCTTCACCACTACTTCCAAAACTTTTTCATCACCCCAGACAGGAAGTGTACCCATTAAGCAGTAATTTCCCTATCTCACATCTACCTCACCCCAGGTAAACTCGACTCTTCTTTCTATCCCTATGAATCTGCTATTATAGCTATTTCATGTAAGTGGAATCAGACAGTGTTTGTCCATTTGTGTCTGGCTTATTTCATTAGCATCAATGTGTTCAATGTTTGTTCACATTGTACCAGAATTTCTTTCTTTTTAATGGTTGAGTAATACTCCATTGTATGGCTGTACCACATTTTGTTTATCCATTTATCTGCTGACGGACACTTGAGTTTTAACTTTTGGCTGTTGTGAATAGTGCTGTTATGAACATTGCTCTACAGGTATCTGTTTGAGTCCTTTCTTTCAAGTCTTTCAGTGTATGTGGGAGTGGAATTGCTGGATCATATGGTAATTCTGTGTTTAACTGCCAAACCGTTTTTTCTTCCACAGCAGCTGCACATTTACACTCCCTTGCCAGAGCATGAGGGTTCCAGTTGCTCCACATCCTCACCACACTTGTTAGTTTCTGTAACTAGTAACACTTGTTACTTTCCTCATGAAAATGAAGTATCTTACAGTGGTTTTGATTCACATTCATTTCCCTAAGGACCAGTGATGTCCAGCATTTTTTTCATGTGCTTTTTGGCTGTTTGTGTATATTCTTAGAAGTGTCTATTCAAGTCCTTTGTTGTTGTTGTTGCTGTTGTTGTTAGGTGCCATTGAGTCATCTCCAACTCATAGCAACCCAGTGCACAGTAGAACGAAACACTGCCCAGTCCTGTGCCAGCCTCACAATACCTGAGCCCATCGTGGCAGCCACTGTGTCAGTCCATCTCGTTGAGGGCCTTCCCCTTTTTCATTGACCAAGCGTGATATCCTTCCCCAGGGAATGGTTCCTTCTGACAACATGACCAAAGTAGGTGAGACAAAGTCTGGCCATTCTCGCTTCCAGGGAGCATTCTGGCTGCACTTCTTCCAGGACAGATCTGTTAGTCCTTTTAGCAGCCCATGGTGCTCTTAGCATTCTTGTCCAGCACCACAACTCAAAAGCATCAACTCTTCTTTGGTCTTCCTTATGCATTGTTCAGATCTCACAGGCATAAGAGATGACTGAAAATACCATGGCTTGGGTTAGGCACACCTTAGTCTTCAAGGGAACCTCTTGGCTCTTCAGCACTTGAAAGAGGTCTTTTGCAGCAGATTTGCCCAGGGCTGCACGTCATCTGATGTCTTGACTGCTGCTTCCATTGGTGCTGTTTGTAGAACCAAGTAATAGGAAGTCCTTCTCAACTTCATTCGTCTCTCCATCCATCATGAAGCTGTTTATTGGACCAGTTGTGAGGATTTTTGTTTTCTTTATGTTGACATGTAATCCATACTGCAGACTGTAGTCTTTAATCTTCATCAGTAAGTGCTCCAAGTCATCCTCACTCTCAGCAAGCAAGGTCTTGTTGTCTGCATATCCCAGGTTCAAGTCCTTTACCCATTTTTTAATTGGGATGTTTGAGATTTTTTTGTTGTTGAGTTATAAGAGTTCTTTTTATATTCTGGATATTAATCTCATAACATATATGCAGATATTTTTTCTCATTCTATGGGTTTTCTTTTCATTTCTTGATAATATTCTTTGATGCACAAATGTCTTTTAATTTTTTTTTTTTT